GGCCAATCACTGGCGAGTCGGAAGGGAAGCCATCAAAGTCAGATTGGTCAATCATGGTTTCGCTGAAAAGATCTTCTGGTCTTCCAGATGATGACTCCGCCATACTACTTCTTGTTTCTACACTTGGCACACTAGATTCAGTAAAACGTGGTAAAGGGAAGAGTGAAAATTCCGCAAAGCGTATGGCGAACAATCCATCGTGAAAGTGTCGAGGAGAATCGTCTTCCGTAAATGATATAATTTTAAGATTTGAGTAAAAGAATGTTTTCGATTTGAGCACTGATGAAAAATGTCAATACTCTACTATCCCTTAAATCACACATTAAGGGCTTAGAAAAAAATTTACCGTAAATCTCTCGTTTATTTTGTTTTGTTTGATTTTCATCAGGTATAGGCGTAAGCATTTTCCCAAGCGCATATAGTGCAATATGGCGTGAAATGCTGAAATGAAACAAGATGATAAATGATATACAGAAATCATTATTTTGCTCTTTCTTTATTACTTATTTTTCACCGTACCTTAGGAGTGTTTTTCACAGTACCAGGGAATCTGTTTAAACTGTCAGCGACGCGAAGCGAGAAGAAATCTATCGCATTGATAAGTTACACGCAGCTCTCTCAATTTATGAAAAAGACCCTAGGTGTTCGTTGGTGTTACATTGTATTCTGATAGCCATTCTGCTTAAACCAAATTTTTGTTTGCTTGTTTAGTTCAACGAGGTCGCTATGGAGATGTTGATAACGACTTGGGAGTGTCATAATAAGTAGTCTTCCTTCATAAAATTTGCACTATAATCCCAGCAGTATTCTCTTTGCTCGCCTTGGACACTCTGAAATCATATTTACGACTTTTTCAAGTTCGGTGAACACACAGCGTTTCCAAACGCTAAGTGCCGGTGCAGCAGTCCAATAAACAACAGCTGAACGTAGTACAGCAGTGCGGGTTGGTGGCAGTTATATTAAAATCAATTGACATAGTATAATAATAGAACGCCTTATGTGGTTATTTTTATTTGAACTATAGTCTGATCTTAAAGTACAAACTAATAAATACAGACATATTCGAGAATTTGAAAGCGAAGAGAACGCCAAATTACGCCTAGCAAATTACGGACCAGGCAATAAGTCTAGCAGCTATCTCAATCGATCGTCAGCTATGGAAAGATCGGGTACCAAAGGCCGGATCCCTTGTGAATCAAGTCACGAAAAGTTCAAGAATCGGCAAAAGGCCATGGGCCTATTTCTTTAATGCCGACACTTCTATTCTAAGTAAATTTGCCGTATCTTAATTAAAAACGTTTCTGAGACCAGCACCATCATCAGTTATAAGAATTCTAGAAATTACACGCACAATCAGTGAAGACAATTAAAATATACACGACTTGGATGTAAACTTATGCCAACCTTAAACGATTTCGGGTAAATTTTAATGTTCACTGCTGACTGAACGAACATTCTCTAGAATCATTTGAACTGATGATGGGGCAGGTCTCCGAAACGCATTAAATGAAGATATGATGAATTTCTTAGACGTGTTCTTTGCTTTTAAGTTCTTGGTGAAGTCGCGATTTAATCAGACTAATGATAATAGTGACTAACTCCACCAGCTCAGTGTAACTCCACCAGCTCAGTGTAACTCCACCAGCTCAGTGTAACTCCTACTTAACCCCACAACTGAGACCTGCAGTCAGACACCGCGAGCTCAGCGGTGGGGCGCTCAGGAACAATCCCCCCTAGGAACGCGAAATCCCATAGGACTTCTGACGAGCACAGACACGCGTCAGAAGTCCCCCCTGAGGGGAGCACCGTCATCAGTTAGAAGAATTCTAGAAATTACACGTACAATCAGCGAAGACAATTAAAATATACACGGCTGGGATGAAAACTTGTGCAAATCTTACACGATTTCGGGTAAATTTTAATGTTCACTGCTGACTGAACGAACATTCTCTAGAATTATTTGAACTGATGAAGGGGCTGGTCTCCGAAACACATTAATGAAGATATGACAAATTTCCGTGTTCTTTGCTTTCAAGTTTTTGGTGAAGTTGCGATTTAATCAGACTAATGATAAATGAGACTAATTCCACTAGCTCAGTGCAGCAGCAAGCATAAGTTAATGGCATAAATGCCACATCATGAAGGTATTACCACCCATTACGAAAGATCCATAAATATAAATCATTTATGGCAGCATGAAGTGTCTTCTACAAATAGCCATCATTGCAACGCTATTAATAAATTTTTACACGCAAAGTATAGTCCATTTCTTTTATATTTAATACATAACACGTATGAAAAATTTGTACATTATAGCGTAGAAAATACCGTTAAAAAAAGATTAACATAATCGAACATCATGTTGATGTAACTATATCACATAAATGAACTTATATTAAACAGTAAATTATTAAATGTTAGAACTCCTGATGGTACAAAAAAAGCTATCAAAATCTTTCATATTGCCTTAAAAAAAGTTTACATAATCCAAAATAATTACAAAGCACACACATTAATAAACACGCACAACTGCGACTGTCAGGGTTTATTATGGTAATATATGGGTTTATTATGGTTTTAAATATTCGAATTTAGTATTCGAATTTAATAATCGAATTCGAATTTAGTTTCCAACCATGAAAACAACTTATATTATGGTTTTAAAACCATGAAAAATCCTTATATTATTGTTTTTACCTCAAGTTTTTACAATTACAACGTGCGAATCCAAAGATAGGCATTCATCCTATCAACGCATCACGCCGTGCACATGGCGAATACCATCACTTGTTTCGTGAGTTGAAAAAGGACGCACAGAAATTCAAGGAACAGACGAGAAATGACGATAGAAACTTTCGACCTCCTACTCTGCCTCATCAAGGAAGACATCTACAAACAGTCTACCAGCTGCAGGAGCGCTATTTCACCAGAGGAACGTCTTGTTGTCACGATAAGGTAAGGAATAATCATAAGGATTTCATTTAACTGCTATACTTAATTGAAATTTCCATATCATTCTTTAATACATGACTACAAAGCATATCATACATAGGTACTGCAATTATAACTGCTTGTAATAAAGTGTGCCAGAAAAATAAAAATAAAATATTGTGCAAAAACATGGTATCCGATGAGAATTACAATTCTAATTTTACTTTGTTAACATATTACAGATGTTGATCCTCGCCATGCAAAAACTGGAAAACCAATTTTAGTACTTTCATTCGAAACATGCACTGGTTCCTAAGTGTCATGTTTTTCATGGAAGGTACTAAACTCAACAAAAACTGACGACAATCGTCAGTTTCATTACTCTGGTCTTTACGGAGCAATTCAAGCTTTTCTTTTTCTAGATCTAAAAAATTTTGATGGAAATCGGACTCTACTTTCATTTTATTTCTGATTGGTTTAAGTGACTTTGTTACCGGTAACTGTTCTGCATCAACCGAGGTTTCTTCACTACCGGGATGGTCTCTGATGCTTTTAGACGTCTTTCGGGCGACAGATTCTGGGGAAAATACATTGCATTTGAATTAGGCACAAACACTTCAACTCCTATTGAATTAACATTATTTAAAGGGCCACTGGTAAACATATTTTACTGTCAATAGGAAATAGATATATTACTCGACAATGGTCTGTTATGTTAAGGTATTCGATTGCAACAAAGATATTAATGCAGATTTTTTTTTCTTTCAGATATCTGTCAACCGGGGTTTCGTTCCGGTCTTTGGCATTTCAGTTCAGAATGGGAAGATCTACAATTGTTACAGAGACGTGTGAAGCGATTTGGAAGAATGTTCAGCCAATTTACATGCCATTTCCTGATAGAAAGTTGTGCATGGAATTCAATCTCAAGGCAATTCAATCTCACGTGGAATTTTCCGAACTGTTTCGGTGCAGTCGACGGCAAGCACATCTGCATTGAAGCTTCTCACAAGTCAGGATCATTGTATTACAATTAGAAAGTTTTTCTCTCTCGTTTTGCATGGTGTAGCAGATCATGAATGCAAGTTCATCACTGTCGACATTGGTGCGCATGGCAGGCAGAGTGATGGAGGAGTGTTCAGAAACAGCGATCTGGTTAAATGTCTCGATGTAAATGCATTAGATTGCCCTGCTGCCCAACAGCTTCCTGGATCTGAAGACAAAACCTCATTTGTCATTGTTGGGGATGAGGCTTACCCACTACTACCATTTTTAATGCGTCGTTACCCTAGACAAAATTAAGATCAGTCAAAGAAAATTTTTAACTATCGTCTATCTAGAGCCCGGCGACGCGTTGAGTGCGCGTTTGGCATTATGACCGCAAAATATAGATTACTAACGAAGTCTATCGAAACAAGTGTTGAACATGCAACGGTAATTGTAAAAGCCATTTGTGTTTTACACAATATGATCCTAGCTCGAGAAGGCATCGACACTGAAGCAGAAACAGGTGTCGAGGATCACTGTGAAATAGTCAATACCAGAACACCAACCGCTGAAAGAAATAGCCCTAGATACGCTATCAATGTTTACCGCCCTCCTCCCGCTCGCGCACGAGATCGCGACGGGTTTTAACTCTCGGCGTCCTCCAGCCCGCAGTCGCCGGTGCAGTCGATCTCTCGAAGGCTGTCGACAGCGTCGACCAACATCTCCTTCTGAGCATGATCGCGGCCTCGGACCTACACCACAAACCTGGTCCACTGGCTGTTCTGCTACCTCAGAGGCAGGCAGGCATCCTGCTTATACCTAAGAATGCAATCGTCTTTCAGAGCAATACACTCGGAAGTGCCCCAAGGCTCGGTCATCTCGCCGGCCCTCTTTAATCACTTCATCTCCGATATCCCAGTGCCGACCCCCAACATTGCCTCATATGCGGACGACCTTACCATCTTCGTGTAAGGTCGTCTCAGATTGGTCGGCTGCCAAGAAACTGGGCGTGGCTCCTGGCAAGTCCTCGGTCACGCTCTTCACCCCAGACACCCACCAATCTCGATCCCACCCTGCTGCCACCATCTGCAACGGCATCATCCCCCTGCACAAAACCCCCAAAATCCTGGGGGTCACCTGGGATACGCACTTCACGTTCTCCCTTCATGTTAGAGCCACAGCCACGAAAACGACTGGATCTCTTCGCATCCTAAAAGCCCTTGCCGGCACAAACTGAGGCTTCTCCAAAGAGGACATTGTTGCCACCTACCGTACCATCACGCGCCCAATCCTACACTACGCGACCCCTATCTGGTACCCTGTCGCCTCACGCACAGCAATTGCTAGCCTTCAAACTATACAAAACACTGCCCTGAGATTAGCGACCGGCTGCCTCAAAATGGCCCCGATCGCTAATCTTCACCATGAGACCGGCGTCCTTCCCTTGTCCGCGCACCGAGACCTGGCTTGTGCCCAGTCCCTCGCCAGTGCCCTCCAGCCCTCCCATACCTCATTCCGCATCGTTTCTGCTTCTCTCTTGGACCGCCCCATACAGGCGAGGTTCAGCCACCTTGTCACACCATTTCTGGCAAACGGTGTCATGCCCGCCGGTGCCTATGGAGAGGCCAAGCGGTCCCTCCGCATGGAGATCGCCTCCCGCGTTGCGCCGACTGACACCATAAACGCCGTCCTCGCAGCCCCGCCACCGCCAATTGCTTCAGTGGAGGCCTCACTCCCTCGCCCCTACCGCTCAGCGCTATCCCAGCTCCGCTCGGGATACTGCTTCTCCCTGGCGTCCTATTCCGCTAGAATCGGACGCCCACCTAGCTCCGCCTGCCCGGAGTGCAGAGATCCCCTCCAGTCCGTCCAGCACCTCTTCGCCTGCCCCGCCTTCCCATCGTCCCTCAGCGTCTCCTTACTGTGGAACAACCTCGTGGAGGCAGCGGCATTCCTGGCCACCCTCCCTGCCTTCGCCCATCTCCCCCTCATCCGGTGCCTTCCCTCTGGCCACCACCAGAGCCTCCCACCGATGAGCGTGATGGTCGCAACAAACAACAACAACATCAATGTTCGTAACACTCTGACTATTTACTTTACTTCTCCCGTTGGGAATGTTCCATGGCAGGCATACATCTAGATTATAAATAGAAGTTACTATTTACTAGTACATACATAAATGAAATAAAGTGATGTTTTATTGACCCTACCAGGAATACTCAATGCATCACATATCTGCGACCAGCTGTCATTGATGTACTGACGATTACCGTGCTTGGGGTGCGAGGCGTCTCAGATAGCCGGCACGGCTTGGATGGAGCAAATCAAAGCTTCAACATCCACCCTCGATGACGTCTCAGAGGCAACTACACGCGCTTGTATATATAACTCAACAAATCTACAAGCTTCGCGTGTCAGCAAGCGCCGCGGGTGCTAGCGCGAGCGCGCGTCCTATCTGGTCATCCCTATGGGATTGTTTGAATACTGTATAATATAGTCGCTTCAGCGCGCTTGCGCTCGCGTGCGCTTTCTCGGTTTCTTTCTGGCCGCACCCTTATGCTATGTCCACACGCTCAGTATAAGCCATCTTTTATGTGACGAATTAGGCATGCTATGCCGTTGAGTTAATAAGGAAAGAGATGGTGTCAAATGAAACTACTTATCCAAGCCATGTTTAACCTTCTTGTGTTTTTTTAAATTTTGATAATTTGCAGCCTGATAATGACACAAGTCGCATTGAAAGCCAGTTCCTATACCGTGCTTGGAAAACGAGTGCTCTCTGAGAATCCGTCTCGTCGCGGTGACATAATCACACAACTCACATTGGAACCCAGCCCCTATACCGTGAAGAGAAAACATGTGATGTTTGAGAATCTGTTTCCTAGAAGCAACATAGTCACATGACTTGCATTTGAACCCAGATCCTTTACCATGAATGGAAAACAAGTGTTGTCTGAGAACATGTGTCTCTGCAGCGGCATAGTCACAGAACTCGCACTGAAACCCAGTTCCAATACCATGACTAGAAAAAAGGTGCCGTTTGAGAATGTATTTCTCAGCAGCGGTGTAGGAACAAAGATGACAAGAGAACCCAGCTCCCACACTGTGTTTTAAAATCATGTGGGCTTTAAGTACGGATTTTTGGGCAGCTTTATAGTCACAAAGCTCGCATTGAAACCCGCTTCCTATGCCATGTTTAGAAATCAAATGCAGTTTAAGGATTGGTCTACGAGCTGCAATATACTCACAAAACTGGCACGGGAACCCAGTTCCAACACCATGTTTAGATATTAAATGGGTTTTGAGGAGCCTCGTATTAGCAGCTTTATGGTCACATAACTCACATGGTAAGCCAGTTCCAATTTCATGTTTAGCAATCAAGTGTCTTTTAAGCAGTCGTTTCTCACCAGTGCTATAGTCACATAATTCACATTGCAAGCGAATTCGAGAACCACACTTGGGAATTCGATGCGTCTTTGAATGCTTTCTTGAATTTGTAGGAATATTTCCATCATTATCGGCCTTTCCTTGGTCCTTGTTTACGCGAGGAAACAACATATGTTTCTTCTGGCCAGCGTTGGCCTGCAGCTTGCACTGCACACCGATCTGAAGGTTGGAAGTAGATACATAGTAGCTATACAAGGATTACCATATGCTAGCCATTAAAATTTCAAATATACAAGCTTTCATACTCAGACCATTAAATAAAAATGAAAAGGAAGATTGTTAATGTATTCATATAAAATAGGATATATTTCAGAAACAAAAATATACATTGGCACAGATGCAATTCGTGAAATAAAACTTTAATCTATTTTGCAATTCGTGAAATAAAACTTTAATCTATTTCTATAATAAGACAATTGGATAAAAATTATATTATGTTTGAACCTCAAATTTCCTCTAGTTCAACAATAGATCTTTATATTATGAAGAACTGCCAGATCCAAATACTATTTAAATTTAAACTCATGCTGGGTACATTGGCTTGGCATGCAACTTTGAATACACTTTTGCATGTGAACAATGAACTTTTAAGCACAATGGAACAAATACTTCATGAGATGTCTAAATATTTATATTGGATTCAGTGGTTTCATGGTGAAATGAGGAATATGAGGTCTAATGGAGTGCAATCATTTGCGGACCATAGAACTTGTAGAAGTCATATATTATGTATTAACAGCAGCAAGTATCACCAACCTGTTGATCAGGCTGAGCAACCATGTCCTGTGAGCCGCCTTGGTGGGCCTCATCAAGAGGAGCTTCCTTCTTGCACGGCACACACAGCAAGGGGGAGGGAGTTGGCTGGTCACCACAAACAGGAATGAGCAGATGGCGTGAAGTTGATTTGGACATGTAAGATTGACTAGCATGAGGCATAGTTTACAGATGTAAATTTTATTAAAGATACAAACTCTCTGAAAGGCATAGTTCCTAGATGCAAATTGTCTTAAAGATACAAACTGTATGAAAGGCATAGTTTATAAATGCAAGTTTCATCAGACACAAACTGTCTGATATAAAAATAGAAATTTTACAAGTTATTCAGTTGATTCTTTTGAATGCATAAAAAATAAATTATAGTATTTTTTTTTCATGTAAGTATAGTTTTGGTTACAGTAGGTATGAAAACTCCTCTGATGATAATCTCTTGAACACTCATTTGCATAATTCACCACAATATTGTATGGAGCAAAGTACACTAGAAAATATTCTTAAAACAAATGTGGCATAAATATATAGGTACATTGCATGAGTTATATTACATGAAATAACTTTTATTGATCAGCAGATTGGCAATTTCACCTCATTTTTATCAGCGGAAATTGGTTCCTCCTTCACTGTTATATTGTTGTCCCCTTCATCTGCAGGCTCTTCTTTGATGTAAATAATGTTTCCTTCTTGTAGGGCAGATGAGTCAAGGCTCATCATGGCTGGATAGAAAAATTTTAAATTACCATAATGACCATTAGGAATAAAATAATAGATCCATAGACAAAAAGTTAAACTGAATCTTCATTATTGACATTTGACACCATTTTCCCATTATACATAATGTATGATAATATGATTTTGAGGGCACTGATCAAAGTTTGTTGTCAGTAGTTTTTTTTTTACTTTAGAGAAAGCAACACAACCTACTTACACAGTGCAATCAAATTAGATTAGGGTCTGATCATTCTGATGGCACTGACTAGAGTACAAGCATTGTAGCAATCTCCTTATCACAATATCACCTTATGAAGTTATGAGTCCAGTCATGACCTCGTCCTTATCTACTTCAGATTTAAACCAATATCTTATGTATTATAATGCAGGCATCAATGATACTCTATTTAAGTTTACTTAACTATTCTACTTGAAAGACTAAAAAATGAATTTGAGGAAGAGTCTAAAAAACTCTCTCGTCTCTGTTTGCCACTATCCGATGCACAATGCTTTGCAACTTCATCTATACATTAACAGGTTGTCCAAGAACCCCATCCGCGTTCCGCGCAACTTTACTAAGCTTCTCGATACTCATAGGATGATAGGACTCAAAAAGAGAGATTAAAACGTCACTGCTTTGCCACAAGGGTCACACTCACACTTGAGAGTTGGAGGTGTTAAGGTGCTGAAGTCGCTGCAGCGCAGAGAAGGTGGCGAATAAAAGATCCATCGAATGCAGCGGAGAATCAAGAGATTCCGTAATTTCGAGAGCTGGATGTGCAACAGTGTAATAGAATATCAACAATCTTTCACTGGTGCGATAAAACCCGCAACTTTTTATATTATAATAACTTTAGGCACTTGATATGTAGAGTTTGAATGAAATCTACAAAGTATTTGCTTCTAAATGTTCAATGATCATATTTCCTGAAATATTTCAATCGCGTCAAAATTCAGAAGTTCAACGCGGATATCTCAAAAAAATTGAAACCATTGAGTGTGGAGTGATGAAGTAAGATGAATCACTCTTTAATTCAATGTTAATCCCACTCTGTACTCTAAATTAGTGCTTTGCACGCATTAGTAGTGCTTAGAGCAGCGATGACTGTGCCATTTTTTTTTCTCAGAGTTTCAACGCTTATATCTCAGAAGATAACTTTACAATTACACTTAGTACTGGCTAAACTCAATCGACAATTCTACGGACCCGCCTGCGAACTCGCCTGCGGACTCGCGCAACTGGGACACTCATAATTCCTTCAATACCTATCGGATCTGTATGAATTTTGGAATGTGAGTATTAATTAACGATACGCTGCCGCAGGAATTATTACAGATTTTTGCATGAATTATTTCTTAACCTAACCAAATCTAACCTAATAGCAAGTCATGTAAAAATCTGTAATAATTTCTGCGGCAGCGTATCGATAATTAATACTCACATTCCAAAATTCGAGCAGATCCGTTAAGTATTGAAGGAATTATGAGTGTCCAGTTGCTTAAAAAATACGTTTATTGGTTTTAATTAAAAATAATTAAAGAAAAAATCTGTAATAATTTCTGCGGCAGCGTATCGATAACTAATACTCACATTCCAAAATTCGAGCAGATCCGTTAAGTATTGAAGGAATTATGAGTGTCCAGTTGCTTAAAAAATACGTTTATTGGTTTTAATTTAAAAAATTCATATAAAAATCTGTAATAATTCCTGCGGCATCGTATCGATAATTAATACTCACATTCCAAAATTCATACAGATCCGCTAAGTATTGAAGGAATTATGAGCGTCCAACTTGCGCGCAGCGTTGCCAGATGGTATATTTCTATACCAGATTTCACAAATCTGGTATTTTCAGAAGGTGTCTGGTATGAACATTTTAGATCTGGTATATTTGCCTAAATCTGGTATTTTTCTGGTATTTTCTGACTTACTGCAAATTTACTGCATTAAGTTCCACCTCTGAAGTTTGAATTTCCTCCAACGTATGCGTGGATTATATAGATTACCATCAGAGTGGCGCGACTAGAGGTTTCCCGCCATTTTTGGAACCTTAAAAATCTGTAATAATTCCTGTGGCAGCGTATCGATAATTAATACTCACATTCCAAAATTCATACAGATCCGCTAAGTATTGAAGGAATTATGAGCGTCCCACTTGCGCGAGTCCGCAGGCGAGTTCGCAGGCGGTCGGGTCCGTAGAATTGTCGATTGAGTACTGGCTAATAGTGCTAGAAGCAACAATGGCAGCGATTTGCAAGTTCCGGATGTTCAACGGTTATATCTTCAAAAGCATCTAGCTCTAAAAGCACTGAAACTACTGGAGTGCCAAGTTATGAAATATTAAGTAAAATGTAGGAAAACCTGTGCATCTAATTTCTTAATAAGATGATTCGTTTATAAAAATTCTAACAATTTACGGATTTATTTCATTGTTTCAATTTTATTATTAATCGACAATTGCTTTAATTTCAAAAAGGCTTGAATCCGAGTATTCGCGGTTTTAAGTTTTCGTATGAAAATCGTACCAATGCAAGGGTTCCAATGATACACTGGCGCGTTTAAATTATAAACTAGTAAATTCAAGTCTCCAGCATACGTTGACAAAATCTCTAGTACAAGAAAAGGGGTCATCCGAATAAAATCAAGTTAAGAATCTAACAGTTTACATCACTCAAACTTCCAAATTATAATTACCAAAAATGTTTATCCATTATGCAGTGTGCAGTTGCGTAGGGTAGGTCGAATGCCGCATACGCCCGTGTTTCCAGCTGCTGTATTGTTAAATTAGGTAGTCATCTTTACAATATTAGTTTCTTCTAAGTAGTCATTCGCCATGCAAGTTTCTCCCATCTAACAGCATTTAAGTAGTCTACTTTACACAGTTTTTTTACGAAATAATCTGATGTCCCGGAATGTCTACCGAGACTCTGTAGGCCTACGATGACGGAGACAGCGCAGCAAAAACCTGACGGGCGTTGGGGTTAGCTCGCCTTCCAGTGTGTAAGCCTCGCCAGCTTGCGGTTCCTTTCTTATCGAAGTGGTTTGGGCCGGGTGCATCCTGTGTCACGTATAGAGACCGGTGGTTGAAGGAACAACAAACATTCTTTGTTATAGGTAGACTTAAATACTAACGATTACTTGATTAGAACGCTTATGAATGATATACAAATTTTCGAAAGCCAACAATGTTATCTTAACGTAATCACATTAAATTCAAGGAACTAGTTGCTATATATTTTTTGACATGCAAAAAAAATTAAATAATTTTTAATCCAGTTCATGCATTATTTAAAGAAGTCTAACCCATGTTAGGGCGCAACCGTGGGCCACGAATTTCCAGTGCACACTGCACAGCTTATGCTCAAGTCAGTCTCGTCTCCTTGTATGTGGACGTGCCATGAAGATAATTCCAGGCTTAAAGCGTAACACTTAAGAAGAAAGATCTGCGACTGTGAAGCTTCCAAGCCTCTGTTATCGATGTCTGCTTGAGAACCTCATTGAAATATTTCATATATTTTATAAATATTGAAATGTTTTACTCCCGCAATATACTTGTATAAGTATACTCATGGTCTATACAAGGTCCCAGAAGTATTACTAGAATTCGAAACTAGAACCAACACCAGGGGCCACGAGTCCACGACTATAAACTACAAAAACTGTCGTTCAACTCATCCATGCGAGTCACCGCTCCGAGTTACAGAGTTGCCACTCCAACATTTCTTCTCGCTCCGAGTCACCGACATGTGGAACAGCCTCCCGGATGACATCGTGGACGCTCCGATTATAAACGTCTTCAAGAACGGACTATGATGAAGATTTTCAGTAGTATATGTTCAGCTCGAATTGCCAATCAGTATCACCCCACGGGCCTGAAAGTAGTCGAGTAACTCTTCAATTTAACGCCAGTTTCTATAAGATCTTGTATAAATGCCAGTTTTTTGTATCTCTAGCCCATTCTTCAGCGCCGACACTACTATACTATCCTACGTGCAATCCCACGATGGCCCTACCTCCACACTTACCACAACTCTCCGATTTGCTGCTCCGACGTCCCGGTTTGTTTTTGATGGGTCAATGTGAGGTGAGTCCAGATGTAGGACTGCTTTCTTATGAGTGAGTATGAAGTGGCTGTGATCTTACGGCGCTATAGCTTTAAGCAATTAACTTCACTCGCTGTTATATCCTCTAGCACAGGGGTTTCCAAACTATGACCCGCGCCACATTATTCCATCCGGCCCGCCGGATGAAATCGTGAAATGAATAAATAATTATTGTACGAATGGCATCGCAGAATTATTCAAAGCTGGGGCCTGCTGACTGGTGGCGCTCAGCCCGAGTCAGTTTTCCTCTATCTCGATAGCGTGACGTACAGATACTATTACTTGTAGGCAGAGATACTTGTAGGTACAGATACTATTGCTTGTAGGTAGGTGGACAGTAGAGCGCTACATGTAGCGACCGCTACTAGCGGCCGCTACATTTTCAGTAGCGGTAGCGGCGCTACATTTAAGCAGTTATAGCGGTAGCGGTAGCGCCCGCTACATATTTAAGTAGCGATACGAGGTTTTGCCGCTACAGCGCTACCGCTACATTTCCAGATAAAGCCTTTAGATTTTACTTAATAGTATAAATATTATTTAAAAACCAGCATGATTCATACATAAAATGAATTACAGAATAAAACTGTACGAAAGATTTCGGTGTAATGTTGTCAACCTCAGCCTGTTACTAGTGTCAACATGTTGGTTGTTACTTGTTAAGTTGTTACCAGTTACCACTTACAGGTTTTTTTCATGTTAATGGCATCGCAGAATTATTCAAAGCTGGGGCCTGCTGACTGGTGGCGCTCAGCCCGAGTCAGTTTTCCTCTAGCTCGATAGTGTGACGTACAGATACTATTACTTGTAGGTATGTGACTGCAATGCTGAAAATCTTTCAACTCACTTTCAAATGGAAATTACTGACCTCCAGGCAGATGAAAGACTGATTTATAAGTATAGAGAAGGAATCCTTATTGAGTTTTATTAATGCCTCCAGTCAGATCAGTTTCCAAATTTAATAAAGTTTGCTTGTAGTTTTGTGTCCATTTATGGTTCAACATACTTGTGGGAACAAAAATTATCCTAAATGAAGTATGCGAAATCTAACTATCGAGCAACTTTGTCTGATGGTCACTTGATGCTTACAATTGGCTCATCTAATCTGGAACCGGATTTTAATGAAATTTTGAAGTCAAAACGACAGCATCATTCGTCGCTCTAATTTGGTTTGATAAAACTAAATACAGGCATCAATTTAGTTTACCCCGATTTTTTCCAAAATGATATGTCATAATTGTGTGAATAAAATTATTGTTTTTTCTATTCCTTCGGCCTGCACAAATATGGGAAATATATAATGTGGCCCGCACATTGAAAAGTTTGGAAACCCCTGCTCTAGCATAAATGAGTATAAACTAAAGTGTGATTTTGGACTTGGAAGCCTCCAGCACGCTCACCATGGAGGTGAGTCCATTCCTCCCAAATTCCCGCCATTGAGAAGCGACCTCGTCTCTGACCGACGCACTGCTGACTATAAAAGGCGCGCGATAACATGAGATTCTTATTTCATTGCCAGGCTCAGTCGGTGTTTGACGGCAGGCCGCTCGTTCCCGATACAGACTCACAACTCCGATATGTAAGTGTTTGAATAACTTGTGTATTGTGACCTGTGCTTGAGATTAACGTTGAGATGCCTTGACTGAAGATTACGTATTAATCTTGAATTAAATTTAATTGGTCCATTCTAATTTTGGATGGTATTATTTAAGGCATCAAAAGTAGTATTACGGATAATAATTATTTAAAGTTGGTCGTGGTGTATCGTCCTATAAATTATGAAGCGCAGTGTGGAGTGACTGCGGCTACGGCTCATGATAGACAACTGTGTTTATGAATTGAGGCAGATTTAAACTATGGCTGTAGACCTGCGGCTCCTGTGGCTTCAAGGCCCATGTTCGCAGCACGGTAAATTTGAGAGCAGGTTTTCGCGGCTGGGCGTAAAATCCACGTTCAGCCATCACATCGGCAAGTTCCTGGCTCTCGGCCTTGCGGTTATGTCTGTCGATGCGCGGATTTTCAGACAACGGACAGTTTTCAGGTGGCCGTTGGATGACCAGTGGTCAGCCAAAGACAATCAGCTCCGGCTGAAATCTGGGCATATTTTTTTACTCGGTTCTCATTAAGTTTTTTCCACTTGTCAGTAACCACAAGAGCCCTCGTGCGGTTACAGCTGAGTAATTTATGCCGTGTTTCTCATAACATTCAACAACGCTTTCGTCATTACTGTTAGCATTCGAGATTTTGACAGCAAATGTGAGCATGATTGTTGTTAACAAGTTTTTGGTGAGAAATACCTACAACATGGAAGCAGATTGACGAAGGCTGAGTATACCGATCAGTGGAAAATAAATTGTCAAATAAATGGACACCTTTACATACAGTGTATACGCTGTCTCTTATACACATCTAGATGTGTATAAGAGACAGATTCACCACAATATNATTGTAGTGTCACGTTGTGTTGTTATTGTAGTGTCACGTTGTGTTGTTATTGTAGTGTCACGTTGTGTTGTTATTGTAGTGTCACGTTGTGTTGTTATTGTAGTGTCACGTTGTGTTGTTATTGTAGTGTCACGTTGTGTTGTTATTGTAGTGTCACGTTGTGTTGTTATTGTAGTGTCACGTTGTGTTGTTATTGTAGTGTCACGTTGTGTTGTTATTGTAGTGTCACGTTGTGTTGTTATTGTAGTGTCACGTTGTGTTGTTATTGTAGTGTCACGTTGTGTTGTTATTGTAGTGTCACGTTGTGTTGTTATTGTAGTGTCACGTTGTGTTGTTATTGTAGTGTCACGTTGTGTTGTTATTGTAGTGTCACGTTGTGTTGTTATTGTAGTGTCACGTTGTGTTGTTATTGTAGTGTCACGTTGTGTTGTTATTGTAGTGTCACGTTGTGTTGTTATTGTAGTGTCACGTTGTGTTGTTATTGTAGTGTCACGTTGTGTTGTTATTGTAGTGTCACGTTGTGTTGTTATTGTAGTGTCACGTTGTGTTGTTATTGTAGTGTCACGTTGTGTTGTTATTGTAGTGTCACGTTGTGTTGTTATTGTAGTGTCACGTTAATGTTACAGGCGAACCTTCTTCATGACGCCCCAGGCGCTGGTGCTGCTGGTGGTGCTGGCGGGTGTGAGCTGTCAGATCCGCAGCTTCTCGGATGACGTGGACCTGACGACCGTCACCACGCAGGAGGTGGACGCCGTCCTGGCCAACAAGGCGGCGGTCCTGCAGCTCGTCGAGTGCTTCTTGTATGAGACGCTCTGCCGCTCCCGGGGGGCGCTCTCCTTCGTGCGTGAGTAGCTGGGGCGAGTGGGACCAAGGCACATCCCACTCATTTGTCATTTGTCCCTTTGACGAGTGGGACAAAGGCATGGCGTCCTCGTTTATCCCTTTGACGAGTGGGACGAAGGCATGACGCTCTCGTTTGTCCTTTTGACGAGTGGGACAAAGGCATGGCGCCGCCCTCCTTTGTCCCTTTGACGAGTGGGTCGAAGGCAAATCCCACTCATTTGTCCTTTTGACGAGCGGGACGAAGCCACATCCCACTCATATGTCCCTTTGACGAGTGGGACAAAGGCACGTCCCACTCGTTAATCTCTTTTTTGAGTGTGACGAATGCACATCACACTAATTTTTTCACATGTAAAACTGTGAATAAATGAATAATAAAAAATGGTACAAAAAATATAGTATTATGAATTTTTAATAGTAAATCATATCAATTAGTGCAGTCGTGACAGCGTTGACGATTGGGCTAAGTATGGCCTGTTGTCCAATATAGATATCACAGAATTTTCACAGCTAGCTCTGGGTTAAACCCACAACTCACAGCCCCAATCTAGCACCTCTGCCGTTTTTTGACAAATCTATTCAACGTCGCTTGAGTTGCGTCTTCGCTGCCACTTTGATAAGTTTTAAGTCAAGTCTGATGAACTCTGCTGAGTTCAAGTTTGACTCATGTGTTGAAGTTTGACTCCTGTGTTAAAGTTTGACTCCTGTGTTGAAATTTGGCTCCTGTGTTAAAGTTTGAATCCTGAGTTAAAGTTTGAATCCTGAGTTAAAGTTTGACCGCTGAGTTAAAGTTTGACTCCCGTGTTGATGTTTGACTCCTATGATAAAGTTTGAATCCTGAGTAGTTTGACTAGTGAGTTAAAGTGTGACTCCTGAGTTAAAGTTTGACTCATGAGTTGAAGTTTGACTCCTGTGTTGAAATTTGACTCCTGAGTTGAAGTTTGACTCCTGAGTTGAAGTTTGATTCCTGTGTTGAAGTTTGACACCTAAGTTTAAGTTTGACTCCTGAGTTGATGTTTGACTCCTGAGTTAAAGTTTGACTCTTGAGTTAAAGTTTGACTCTTGAGTTAAAGTTTGACTCTTGAGTTAAAGTTTGACTCCTGAGTTAAAGTTTGACTCTTGAGTTGAAGTTTGACTCCTGAGCTAAAGTTTGACTCCTGAGTTTAAGTTTGACTCCTGGGTTAAAGTTTGACTCCTGAGTTAAAGTTTGACTCTTGATTTGAAGTTTGACTCCTGAGTTAAAGTTTGACTCCTGAGTTAAAGTTTGACTCCTGTGTTAAAATTTGACTCCTGTGTTAAAGTTTGACTCTTGAGTTGAAGATTGACTCCTGAGTTAAAGTTTGACTCCTGTGTTAAATTTTGACTCCTGTGTTGAAGTTTAACTCCTGAGTTAAAGATTGACTGCTGAGTTTGACTCCTGTGTTAAAGTTTGACTCTTGAGTTAAAGTTTGACTCCTGAGTTGAAGTTTGACTCCTGTGTTGAAATTTTACTCCGGTGTTGAAATTTGACTCCTGTGTTGAAATTTTACTCCTGTGTTGAAATTTGACTCCTGTGTTGAAATTTGACTCCTGTGTTGAAATTTGACGTGACATTGCAGGACAAGTGAAGCGACTGGGCCCCCGTGGCCGCTGCTACCGCTGCTCTGCGCGCCAGCAGGGGCACCTCGACATCGTCACTAGACACACCATCTTCGCCATGCAGCGCTATCATCCTGTAGAGTATAGCAGGATATTGCCCTACATCAGGCACATATTGTATTAGTCATCTTAAGGAAAGGCGCTGGATCCTGCCCTACATCAAGAACATACTTTATTCATCCGACAGAGATTCGCATTATCTTGCCATACAACAAGATTGTGATCTCTAATGTAATATGCTACATTTATCCATGCCTTATTCAGCATTACAAATTCAGTTTCATTAAATAACATTAGTTTCTTTGTACCATGACTGAGAGCTTCTATGACGACATTTTTATGTCTAATGTAACAATACGCAACATTAATGATAAGGAGCTCAGACAGCGAGACCAGTACACTTTGTATGAAATAAATCTGCATAATAGTAACTTACGTTCTTATTAACCGCATTGAACTGGCAGTGTATCATGTGTCCATATATTATGAATTTATCTAATAAAATGAGGTTAAAATGTAAAGTTATCTTCATTGAAATTAGTGTATTTTGTGCTTTTTGCGCTACGAAACGGGCCTGCACTCTGCACCTGCTGCAGGGCTTATGTTAAAGGCTCTGATCAAAAACATTTTCTTTTAGAATGCATAAATTTTCTTTGCGTTTTCTTCTTATTCATAACACAGATTTTCTAAAGGATAACTGAGCTAAAAAATTTCTCGCCTATATATGATTGTGAGTCAATCTTCAGAGACTTGACCCAAATACACATGTCAACTACTCATTTTTTAATTATATAAATATTTGTATCAATCATAACTGAAATTTATTGGAAGTCTTCATATAAACGATCCTGTTTATCTATGACTCGCTCCTCGTATTTCACATCGCCCAGGCAGGCGTCGTGGTATCAAGTCGTTCACGTTTATGACGCGCTGTTTGGATTCTTGGAGTCGTAAATGGAGGGAAAATCCACACTTTCGCCCCGCCCCGTAGTGTTTGTTGTTTGTTGTTTGTTGTTAGTTAAATGAAAAAATTTAAAATTTGTAAAGAAAGTTATTATTATCATACTAATAATTGATTTAGCTTAGAATAGAAAGCTGAAGAAGTTTTATCCTTTTTAAAAAGCCTGAGATTTTGACCAAATTGTAGCCGTTTTTCCTACAGATAATGTAAAAAAAAACATTATTTCTAGATTTTCATTATTTTCATTTCAAATAATTTTTTGCTAGATTATTCAGAGCAGAATCATACCGAATAATCATCCAATCGAGTGCATATTGAGATAAATTTATTTCTTTTGCTATTTTTAAGCGTTGTAGGAGAGTCGAGATATCAAGAAAGCCTTAATGAACGATAAGAAAAAAATTATTCTGCTAAGAGAAAACTATAAGAAAGTTAGCTTCTCGAATAAGAGGAACTTTCATATACAACTGAATCAGATCGTCCCGAGGCAAGATCATTTCATATAACATTCGTGGGATTTCATGAACAATTTGAAGACTTAATCGGTGTCCTGCTGCTTGACGATGGCAGAGCTGCCGCCCCTACGCCTGCCATGCAGCTGCTGCCCTGCCACAGCTCGCCTGGTGGCAGACGACTCACGTCGGGGAGGTGAGGGGTCCCCCACCTGGACCGTCTTCGCCTGGGGGAGCTGCACGCTGCTGTTACTGCGGTCCTTCTGCTGGGCACTAAATTGCGGCAGACGCTGCAGGCCTGGGACAACACCACTCAGACTCTGCTGCTGCAGGAGCTGTTCCTGCTGCAAGAGCAGCTGCAGCTGTTGCTGCTGCAGGAGCTGCTGCAGTTGTTGTTGTTGCAGAAATTGCTGCAGAGGGCTTGAGAACGGAGGGATGAGGCTCTGTGAGGGCAAGAGTGAGCGTAACTACCAAAGAAAACAAAGAAATGTACTCCCATCAAATTATTGATCACGTAGGTATGCAAATTAATGAAAATATTAATTGGTGCCAATATCAAACAAGCTACACTTAGAACTTTCAATTTCAAACTTTCAGTTTTCAATTTAAAAATTCAAGAGGTCTCTTACCTCCTGCTGCCGAGCGAGGATGTCTCCCAAAGACGTCTGGGGAAAGGGGCCAACAGGGTTTGTCCCTCTCAGGAGCGACAGGATAGGGTTAACTGTTGCTCTTTGCTGGTTCTGCAGAACCAGTGAGGTCAGGTCATTGCCTGCGGGCAGGAATGCCTGTTGGAAGCCAGGGGATAGGACAGAACCCTGTAGATTAGGGTTCTGGAACGACAGGCTCTGGAGCAGATTGTTTTGGAATGTTGGGTTTGAAAACGCTGGGCTTTGCAGAGTTGGGCTTAGGAATGCGGAACTCGGTCCCAACGGGTTCTGGAACGCCGGTGTTTGGAAGGCCGGGCTCTGAAAGGCTGAGTTTTGGAAGAATGGGTTCTGGAAAGGTGTGCTCTGGAAAGCCGGGTTTTGAAAGGCCGGGTTCTGGAATACCGGGTTTAGGAAGGCCGGGTTCTGGAAGGCCGGGTTCTGGAAGGCCGGGTTCTGGAAGGCCGGGTTCTGGAAGTCCGTGTTTTGGAATGGGTCGCGCTGGAATGGGTTGGTCAGCTGGTCGGAATCTAGGGCCAGGAACGACGTCAGCACGTGGCTGGTGGGGGCCAGGTTTCTGAACAGCGGCGGGGCGGCAAAGGACGTCAGGACGCGTGAGTCATCGGACTGAAACGGGAACCCGTTAGCGCCCGTTAGCGATTGACCGTCGCGGACAAGAATGGGCTGCCGGTTGGGGCCAAGAAAAGATTGCCCATTGAGGCCCAGAAAGGATTGGCCACTGTTGCCAAAGAAAGACTGGCCGTTGTTGCCCAGGAAGGATTGTTGGTTTGGGCCAAGGAAGGACTGTCTGTTGGGGCCAATGAGGGGCAGGCCATTGTTCCCGAGGAAAGGCTGTTGGTTGGGGCCAAGAAAAGACTGTCGGTTGGGGCCAAGGAAACTCTGATCATTGTTGCCAAAGAAGATCTGACCGTTGGGACCCAAAAAGGACTGGCCGGCGAGGCCAAGGAATGGCTGACCGTTCGTATCGATGAGGGTGGGTTGAGGAATGGGTCTGTCGAATGTTGATAAACCGTTTGAAGGGTTGAATCCAAAAGCTTGTTGATTATTGAAAGGGAAGTTTGAGCCAAACCCTGAAGAATCTTGACCAAAGTTCACCACTCTCGGTTCGAGTCGCTGCAGCCTGGGGTCTTGAAAGCCATTTTGGGCTCGTGTGGATGAGAAGCGGGAATCGAAGCCCGAACGTCCAGTTTGGTCGAACCGTGGAGCGTTGGACCGGTTAAGGAAGTCTTCAGGAGAATCCTCGAGGGCGCTCTGCAAGAGGCTACCTGTATTCTGAGTCTCTGCTGCAGAGAATCTATAGATGATCGGCACCAGCAGGCACCAAATAGTACTCAGAACCTTCATTTTTCAGTCGTTTACCTGGAAAAAGTCGTAGTGCGTTAGCTGTTGAACTGAGGATCTGGTCAACTGATCACCCCGAACACAACTGATTTATGGAGCACGCGCCCTTCGTTATATATGGTCGCGATCTGTAGAAATGTTATAATTGCGATAGCCTACAGGGCTGTGTATTAATTGCCCTCTATACAATTAGTTATATTGTATTGATGAAACCAGATAATTCGACCAAAGCAGCCCCTGCAGGCGGTGAGGTCTTGAATCAATCAAGGTATTGATGTCAAGGCTCACAGATACAAGACTTGGTCCAAGCTTGTGTTCGCTCTCAATTCAATCTTGGACAAAACGGAAGACGCGACCGATGCTCCTTTGTTCTTTGTGCGGCGAAGGAAAGCGAAAGCGACCGCAAGTTGTCGCGCTATGAGGGGGGGAGGGTGAGATAGAGAAGAGGGGGTGTAAGAGGGAAGAGGGAGTGAAAGGGGTGATGGAATGCTGCTCATATGTCACTTGTTGTGACAGTCTCGTGCCATGGGTGACGTGACAGTCTCATGCTATGGGTGCCGTGACAGTCTCGTGCCATGGGTGACGTGACAGTCTCGTGCCATGGTTGGGTGACGTGACAGTCTCATGCTATGGGTGCCGTGACAGTCTCGTGCCATGGGTACCGTGACAGTCTCATGCCATGGGTGACGTGACAGTCTCATGCCATGGGTGACATGACAGTCTCGTGTTCTCTCGCGCCTGTTCTCTCGTACCTGTTCTCTCGTGCCTGTTCTCTCTAACGTGTTCTCTCGTGCCTGTTCTCTCGTACCTGTTCTCTCGTATCTGTTCTCTCGTGCCTGTTCTCTCGTATCTGTCGTGCCTGTTCTCTGTTGCCTGTTCTCTCGTGTCTCTTCTCTCGTGCCTGTTCTCCCGTATCGATTCTCCCGTATCTGTTCTCTCGTGTCTGTTGTCTCTCCTGTACTCACACATATTAGCATCAAACTACTGAATATTTTAACCGAGAGTTCATAAAGTTCATGTCCAATATAAGTAATATAAAATAACATCAAATAATTATATTTTCCATATATTCCTCCGCGACACGACCTCGCGACTGCCGATGCAGCGAATACATGAAATGTACTCAAGGAAAATAGACAAAAAAAACACAATGCAGTCAAAATATATATTTAATTTTCCTTGAACTACCTTGCTTATGCTTTGAGAACTTTTATCCAGCTCGGAGCGCATGTGGTAAGATACAAATTTATTTGATCAACATCGTAACAGTATTCAGCGGTTAGCTAATGCTCGAAATCAGAGATTTGCAACCTCTTCAGCCAATAAATGTTATATTATTATGAAATTGCTATTTCTACATCAAATAACTTATTAATAGTTGCGAAGTCGTAACTCAGTTCGCATTTCCGTTCAACGTAACATTTACCCATGATGCTTCTGATAGCCCAACTGCATTACTTAATTAATCTCACTCTATGACCCTGATTACACCATGTCATCATTGCTTCAAGAAACGCTCACTATAAATATTTTAATTTCTAAATGAGGTCACGTTGCGTTAGAATTGTTATCATGTTTCCTTAATCACAACTTTGTAACTGCACAACAGGAAGGCAATACATGGAAGACGAAGGGATGGAGCAGAAATGGAGTTTGGAGATAAAAGGACAGGTTGGGGTGCAGTTGATGCTAGGATGGATGAACTGGATGAAAACCGGACAAGGAGCAGAATTCGGGCAGGATAGTTGACGCTGAAAGAACGGATGAAAAGAGGGCGAGGAGACATATTGCAAACCCAAGGGAATAAACAGGCCCTTTAAAGTACGAAAAAAAAAAACGAAAGAATAATTCAGTAGAGCCCATTTTAACATAACCAATACTGTACTTTAATTATTTTAGGTCAATAAATTTAAGACGCCAGGACGTTAAATCCAAACCTCGTCCCCTGTGTGTGGTCGTCTCTTCTGAACACAGACTCGTCGAGATCACTGACGGCGCCATCGTCCATTCGTGTCATCACCTCACCTGAGGGTTGGCCGTCGCCACGGCAACTTTTGGAATCAAAATTGCGTCGCTCGATTGCCTGTAACCCATGAAGCGCTATTGGCACAGAGCTGTCCGTGGGGAGAAGCAAACGCAACACAGGCTCCAGCTTCTGCACCACAAGCCCGCGTCTGTTGTCTTCACCAGTAGGCAGTCTGTTATAGTTCGGCTGTCTGTTGCTATCAGTCTGTTGCCGGTTGTTTTGGTCGTGGTGTCGCTGTCTGTAGTCATGATTTTGTTCTCGGTGGCCATTGAACTGCTGTTTGATGTCAGTTATCCTATGTCCATCTTCTGTCCATTGACCAGGTAATGGGACGCCACCTAACGAGGCGCCAATGTTTCTGTGATGACTTGGCTGAATGTTCAACGTTGGCTGAGAGTTGAACGTTGCTTGAGTCTTGAACGTTGGCTGGGAGTTGGACGTTGGTTGGGTATTGAATGAACCAACAGAGGTAACACGCGGGAAGTAGATACCTAACGATCGGCCCCCTACAACTTCACGAGTGTTGGATCTTGGTTGAGCTTCGAAGGTTGTTTCAGCGTTGAATTTCAGTTGAGTGTTGAAGGCTGGTTGGACGTTCAATGGTGCTGCTTTTGCTGTAGCGCGTTGTAGAGATATGCCACCTTTTGGGGTCTCGGTATCTTCATGAGTGTTGAATACAGATCGAGTGTCGATAACCGTTGGGTTGACGCGGCTGTTGATATCCCTGTCCGCAAGCGGGATTGTTGCCCCAGGAGGCAACATTATAATTGACGGAGCTTCTACCTTTAGTTTAGGTTTCTCTTTCGTATTTTCTCTTCTCGACGAAGTACGAGTTAATAAAGAAAGCTGAGCTCCAATGTCAGCCGGAGCATCTCGCTCTCCCGTTACTTGAGATAATGGAAAGGTTATTCCGAAGCTTCCTGAAGATGAGGTTGCCGTTTTACTGAGTTGAGAAGCACCTGAACTGGGAAGCCTGATGCCGAAATTTCCATTTTTGTTCCAGACGAATGGCTCTCTTACAGGGGTCGGTTTCGCCACACGAGGCTGAATGCCAAGGCCGTTGCCATTGAAAGCAAACTCATTTGTGGCAGCTGCTGGCGGCTGATTCTCTGAAACATACCTCGATGATAATGTACGGTAATTTTCGTCAGCTCTCATGTATGGCTCTTGAATTCTAGTTTTTTCGACACTGGGAGTCAGTGGCTGGACTTTGGTTCCGGAAGTTATAACAGGTAATGGCAGACTTCCCTCTGTCGAGGCGTTGAAGGCGGTTAAAAAAGCTAACTCACCTGACAACGGTTTAGGAGGGAATAGTGGTTTCGGAGGTTGCATTATGGTTGAGGGGGGAATGATTGGGGTCGGTTTCACCTCTGAGGTACTGTATACATATCCGGAATTAGGTTGACTTACGCTGGTATGCTTGAAAGATTTTGATTTCGATGCAATATTACCGGTAGTCTTAGCCATATGAGCAACATTTGACGGAGTTGTTCGTAAATAGGGCGAGTTATCAACTATTTTTGTCCGTTTTCTCTCCACTTGTTTTGCATTCGCGGCATTCAAGTCTTCGGGTCTACGGGACTTGACGAAGGAAGCGTAATCGAAAATGTTACTTTGAGAATCACTTGATGGACTTTGAGTTTGTTCATTTAAAGGTTGGATTGGGAATAGATGCCTCTTCTTATCGCTGCTTCGCTGGGGCAGTAATACCTCGTCAACTGTAGATTTGCCTGACACCAGAAGAGGTCGTCTTGCGATGGGTCTGGTAAACTTTTTCAACGAAGAAAAAGATTTATTAGTCGTGTATCTACGATCTTCAGCTAACAATGGAAAAGTCTTTGTAAATTCGGAAGTTTTGCTGTAGCGTGAATTTGAGTTCGTCAAGATACTGTGAGGATTTTTTATTTCTTTTTCTTTGATTAGGTTGTGTCTGAAAACATTGCCAGTTTCTATTTCATGCCCACCTTTGATTCTGAAATGTTCATCCCCAAGACTTGTTTGTGCGCTAATAGTACCATCTTCGTGAGTCCCGTCGCCAGCGTAAACAGGAACGTTGTTTGGGTCTTCGTAAGTGACGTTCGCGACGTAGCCTGACTCTGGCGTAACGTAGTACGCCACTTTCTGCCGACGTCCGTCAGGTAGATCCACGAAGTAAGATCCGCTGGTGAAATCCCCGTCCCGTTTTTCAGAGGCCCCGAACAGCTGCGCGTCAGGGGCGTTAAAGACGACGTATTGGAAGTCGTAGCTGGGGACCTGAGGGGAGTGAGAGGGGGAGGGTTACTCAGATATTGTAGCTGGGGACCTGAGGGGAGTGAGAGGGGGAGGGTTACTCAGATATTGTAGCTGGGGACCTGAGGGGAGAGAGAGGGGGAGGGTTACACAGATATTGTAGCTCCGTCGTCAGCATCAAGCACACCAAGTGTCAGCATCAAGCTCATCAAGTATCAGCATCAAGCCCACCAAGTGTCAGCATCAAGCCCACCAAGTATCAGCATTAAGCGCACCAAGTGTCACCATCAAGCACATCAAGCGTCAGCATCAAGCACATCAAGCGTCAGCATCGAGCACATCAAATGTCAGCATCAAGCACATCAAGTGTCACCATCAAGCACATCAAGTGTCACCATCAAGCCCACCAAGCGTCAGCATCAAGCCCACCAAGTGTCACCATCAAGCACA